GATGACATGTATTGATGATAATTGATTATAGAAATAATATATTTATAATATCATGTGATATTGTCATCTTATAATGATATCATGTTATTATGCAATTAATTTTGTTGAAACTTATACATGAATTGATAGGCATAGTCTTTTTTTTTTTTTTTTTGAAATGAATTACAATTTAAGATGAGGGATTCAAATTCTAGTAGATGTACTTTTACGATAAAATATATAACTAGCGAGTTTCGAAACCTAGGTATAATTGGTATAGTCATTTAATGATACATTATCATTATAAATTTATAATATTACATATCTTTTTATGCATATTTCTAGATTTTATAATCTTGGTTAGCTAACTTCGGGCTTAGTTGACAAAATTGAAAATTTGATAAAATTAAATGAACAAAGGCGAAATTGAGAATCTCTTGAACGGTCCGGGGCTAAATTGTAATTTTAGTAAAACCCATCAAAACCCTACATCGGACGGCCAGAAACGCTGATAAAGACACCATATAATAAAACCCTAGCGCTCCCTCCTTCTGTCATATCTTCTGCTCTCTGCCTCCGTCACCCAGTTGCTAGTTCCTACCGCCGTCGCCGCCGCAAAATGGTGAGTCTCCCTCTCTTTCTGTTCGGTGTAGACTGAGCTCCATCTTTTATTTTGTGTTGATTTCTCGTTCTGTTTCTGGGTTCTTGTTTGCAGCCGTTCAAGAGGTACGTTGAGATCGGGAGGGTAGCCCTCGTCAACTATGGGAAGGACTACGGGAAGCTCGTAGTCATCGTAGATGTTGTCGACCAGAACAGAGTATGTTTATACTGAGATTTAGGTGTTGGGTTTTACGTTTTTCCTTTATCTGAATATAAAGCTGTTTAATTTATGAGTTAAGATAAGTAGGTTATGATTGATTTTAAGAATGTGCAATTTTGAAGATTTGGGGATTGGGTTTCTGGGCATACTAGAAAAAGCTGAGATTTTCGGGGAAGAGATTAATATAATTCTCATAGAATGTGGTACTATTTTTGGTTGTTTGAAACGATTCAGTGTTTTCTCTTGGACATACTTTGGTTGTGCCTTGTTCTTCGAATGCACTTGTAGTCTGTGTTAAACAGGGTGATGAGGTTGATGTAGATTTTTCTATCTTAGAAGTTCCACATTGAATTTGATTTTCTTTTACTGTGGGTGTGTGAAATCTGTTGATTGATCTGAGCATATGCTGTAATCATTGACTTCTAAAGTGAATGATGTAGCTTAGGAGTTTAGTAGCCATATTTAATGATCTCGTCATTTAGAGGGACTGAAGTTGCTAGTAAGTACATGTGCTGTTAATAATGTCGGGTCAATTTCAATTTTTGTTTGTTTTTATAGGCTCTAGTTGATGCCCCTGACATGGTGAGAGGCCAAATGAATTTCAAGAGGCTCTCTCTCACTGATATCAAGATTGACATTCCCCGGGTTCCAAAGAAGAAGACACTCATTGAAGCAATGGAGAAGGCTGGTAGGAATAGTGTTTTGTTCTGTCATTTTGTGTAATTTCTTTGTGTTATATCTTACCTCTTAATTCTCTTTGCATGGTGATAGATGTAAAGAACAAGTGGGAGAATAGCTCATGGGGTAGAAAGCTGATTGTCCAGAAGAGGAGAGCATCTCTCAATGACTTTGATAGGTTCAAGATAATGTTGGCTAAAATTAAGGTCTGATATTACCCTACATTTCTATGTTTCACTTTGATTTAACGTGTTTCCTTTCATTCTTCTGTTTTGAAATCAGTTTCTCCAACTTTTAAAATGAGCAATTGATATTTAAGCCCCAGACTAATGCAATGATTCTTGATGTGATTGTGCAGAGGGCTGGGGTGATCAGGCAAGAACTCGCTAAGCTGAAAAAGGAGAATGCAGCCTGAAGTGTTGCTGGGTTTTGACAAGTTTTCCCATCAAAATTCTGTATTATTTTTTTTAAATGTTAACTTTTTGCCTGTTTCTATATTTAGCCTGAGATTAAGATTGGTTGAGAACACACTTTGTTCGAAATATGACGGAAGTTGCACTGATTCTCTTTGGATATCTTTATTATTAATTGTCATATGTGGTTTCTGGTGGTAATATGTTCTTTGTTTTGAGTATTGTGGTATATTTATCAGCATTTTCTATTCAGCAACTATGTTGTCATCTCCTGTTCGGCCATGGAATATGGTGAGATCATGTGCCCTGCAATACGTGCCGTGCCATGATTTATGCACGCGAAAATACCTAGTTTTCTATATTCATTTTCCAATCTGACTAACAAAATTGTTTGAACACAAAACGCTATTTTAATTAAGGTGTGATATTGATACCTGCCACGGTGTTTAAGGATCTAGGTTTCAGTAAAGCTTTTTCCCTTGACTCCTCAGGATATGAAGTTGTGATCTGAGAACTATTTATTAAACCTGATTTGTTTCAAGTCTCAGCATGTGTTAGGCCAACGCAGCAGCACATCATTATCTATACTAGACGTATGAAGAAAAGGCTTCACATTATTGAAATGGCCTGTAACTTAATGAACTCCTGTTGACTACTATAATTGAGCCTCAGACGGCATCCTACTGTATAGAAATATTAACAATATTTCAAGAGATTAACTAAGAAGAAACCAGACTGGTTCAATGCTAAAACATTTCAGACCAAAATTTGTTGTTAGGGTTCTCATAATTGTTTGCTTCAGTAATAATATGCAGCAAGATCAGTATAATCACTTGTATCAATAGGTTTTTGGATTTTCCTAAATAAACCGTGAATTGCAGACTTTGCATATGTTCTTCCTTCCTGTTGGCTCCAAAGGACGTGGAGAACTGGAGGAGGAAAGACAGGAGCCGGCTGCACAAGCCACTTGTTACCATCCACTTCAATTCCATTTAAACTGGATACAAATAGACAAGCATTATTGCCCATAGAGCAAAAACGAAACCTAAATGGGTTTGCTATTTAAAGGATAAACGTACCTATTGACAATTTTCAGCATGTTTGGCCATTCAACAAACTTAAACTGCACATCCACGATGTCACTGCTTCTACATTTTACCAACTTGATTTTTCCATAGGGGTTGCATATGGAATGGACTTGAGCCGGAGATTTAGTATTTGAAATTCTTACAACAGTAGTCATTGGTGAATCAATTCTGAAGATAAGTAACTGCTTTCCTGAAATATACATGGAATGTTTTGCGATTGCCCTCTCTTTTGCATCTTCTGTCTGAAAAGTTGAGTAGAAAATGAGGAATTTAAAGACAAGTGTAACAAAAGCGTAAAAACATCAGGAGAGGTATTTTAAAACGTTGATCTTTCAAGCAAAAGATTGCTGAAGCATAATTGGTGTTCGTTCACTGAGGCACTTGACATTTAGTGCATTCAACCCAATGTTATGAGTTCTAAACGTCTAATAATGGGAAGTAAAAAGATTCCTAATGAATTGAAGGATAAACTTTCGATTTTGACACTTGAACACTCAAACTTCAAGAGTTATTGCATACTTTAACTTTTTTGGGGGAACTTTTTAATACCTAAATGCTGCTAAGGAAATTGAAAGAAAAGACAAGTAGACAAATTGTTTTGCAATTTCCAGGCAAATGAATCCTCAGACATAACTAAAAAAACTAGAAAACTCAGAAAAGATCCATAAACTACAATTAAAAAGAAAAATGTTCAAAATTAAGTAGATGTCTCTGATCCAATCAATATCAACCACTAGCAGATTATGGCAAAAAAGAAATCCACATGCAGATAAAGTGAAAAAGCATCAAATTCAAATAACAATGCAAGTTTGAGATCCAAAACATAGGTAGACTATAATTGCTAAACAGCAACAAAACAGGCACAGAAGCCTCACCTCAAACTCCACATAAGCAACAGAACTTGAGGAACCCAAGAAAATGCTTGTTATGCTACTCTGGCAGAAGGCAAGAGCATCTTTCAGCTGTTGTAAACTCATGTCATCACTCAGCTGTGTGACTTTAACTGTTTTGATGGGATTCTTCACTAGCATAACAGGAACTTCAGGATCACCAATCAGCTCAGGAAAATAAGTTGTATGAGTCATGTCCTCTAAAGAACACATTGGCTGCACAAGGACATCCGCATTGTCCACCACCACATCAGTCTTCTTGAGAGCGTTCATAAAACCTTCCCTTGTCTGCAATAAAGCCAAAGAGGACAATTAAACAGATGGAAATGGATATTTGAATTAAATAAATAAATAAAAACATTGAACTAACCTTAAAATGCACCAAGGCATCTTTGAATATGCTTGTTTGAGAGGAGGAAACTTCCTCTACACTCACAATTGAGCCACAATCATTGAAAGCTTGAATAATTGCTTTCTTCTTAACATATTTCTTCAAAAACCTGACTAATACTTTGTTTTGTCCAGATCCTTCTTCCGTGGAGGAAGAACACAAATCCCTCTTAAGCCCTTCTCTGCAACTTAGAAGAGGCAAATCTGAATCTGGATCTGGATCTGGATCTGAATCTGATTGAACGTGATCATAGGTTGCCATACCCGAACTTTTGTCATTCTCATTCTCACCCATAGATTCTGTATGTAACACCAGAGGGATTCCAGTGTCTGTCTCTTCAAAAAATTTCTTATACTCTTTGCCTTTAGCATGATCTTTTGATGAAGTCCATTTTCTTTTAACTTCTGAGTTCTGCACTCGAGCCTCTGCTTGGATCCTTCCCATTGACCAAATATCCCTGAGTTGACCAGTTACATTGGAGCTGCTATTTGCCAGTGTCTTAGGTGTTGACTGCTTGCCAGAAAACACCTTGACATGGTTAATTAAGTCCTCAGCATCTAGTTTCTGCACTCCTTTCTTCCCTTTTACTGAAAATTCACTAGGCACTGCAGTTTTATCTGATTTATAATTCAATTCTGCTGCCTGAATGTTCAATTTTGTTGCCAAAATGCCTACTATATTCAAGTCTGTGGAATTCTTAGACTGTGCAGGCTTTTTCCTTACCTTAGTGTTTGACTTCAGTCCTTGAATATAACTTGCTGTCTGCCTGTCAAGCTGATGATTCTGATTGGTGCTTAAGCTCAATTGATTACCATCTTTTGACAATGTTATAGATGTCATATTCATCAACTCCTGTTTCAAATGAGAAAAATTCTCAGTACCTGATGCTTGATCTATGCCACAACCAACAATTAAGCCTGTTGTTGCCTCCTCATGCTGCTCATGCTTCTTTTTTGGTTTAACCAACTCTGTACTATCCATCACATCAGAAGCTGGTGTTTTGACAACCTTTCTTTTATTGGCATGAGCATCCATCACTTCTACTGACAATTGAAGTGTACTTTGACAGTTAACAAGCTTGGAATTATCTAGACCATCATGCATTTTAACAACCTCAGGATCTTCTATCGCAACCACATTCTCCAAATTACTTTCCCCAATTATATGAGATTTCATAACTGTTGAAGTGTCATTCTCACAACCAACAGAAGGCCCAAGGACTTCCGATGATTGAATTTTATTTTCAGGCTCACTCAGTTGGTTATTATCTCGATGCATATGCATCTTTATAAGCTCACTGAGTTCAAAACTATCTGGATGTTCATGCATCTTTATATCCTTGGAAGCATCTGTCTGAACTGCACCTTCAAAGGAATTTTGTCCCTCAAAAGATGTTGAACAGGTTGAAACACTCTTTGTTTTCCGAACAGAACTCATTCTGATTTCTGGCAATTGAACTGCCTTCTGGCACTCATGAAATTTGGTATTATGCAAATTATTCTGTGTCATATTAGCCTCAGATACTTTCATGTCAACAATCAAGTTTGATGTTTCCCCAGTAATGTGCTTTTCAGATTGACTCCACATCAGCTTTTCCTTCAAGCTCATGAGAAGTCCTTTAACCCATGATCCTCCCACTTTGTTTCTGGTTTCTTTTGCTTCAGGAACGATTCCTGAATGCTTTTGGATATCTCTGTATGGTCAAGGTGTATTTTATGAGAATTTAGTGACAATGCAATGATCAAATTCAACCTAACTACAAATATCACAATATACCATTTCTATGAATCCATATAAAGCTTGTTAAAGTTTGTAAACAATGTTTTGGTCATGTCAACAAGGAACATTCCATCTAGCTGTTTGAGTTTCAAGTTACCATACCAAGCATATACCTTTGGATTTTCCAATCATCAGATATAAGTTCCTGTTTCTCATTAGTAGAGTGAACAGAAGAGTGAAGAAAGAGAAGGGAGGGGGCGGGGGTCAGTGCCTCTCTCATATTTCATACATTTCTAATTAGGTACAAAGGTTCATTATGTGAATGACTAGAAACCAGCACTGTTGTTAAACTCTAAACATTGTTAACTGCTGCTAAAGCTCCCAACATTCTTGTTATATGTATTGGGGGTTTACAAATTTCATTTCGTAAAAATTACATACCATGGAACCGTAAACATTTATTTAATTTTGCAATGAATGAACTTGGTGGGGAAAATTAAACATTCATCTCATTCACTCATTTAGGATATTGATCATAGATCCTTGATTATGGTGCATGCAAGTCTTATGATTGCTCAAGCATTCATGAATCTCATATTCTATGTTTAATAAGGATTTAGGATGTACGAACTTATATATCACTTATTAGTGTGGGGATCCATAAATGCAGCTATCCATTAGTGACACATACCATGGTCATTTGGACATGCGTTGATCTTACAGTATAAGTTTATTGGGAGTCAGTGGTAACCTATGAATGTGGCAAGCTTATCAGGAGGAAACTGACCTATGACAATGTGGTATTAGAGGAACCCCTAGATGCTATTACATGGAACTAGGAGCACCACCTTGCAGGTCCCACAAATAGGGTGCAAGCCACAAGCATGTATTTAACCCCAAATGCATATATGGGAGCCGGTCTATTTGGGAGAAAAACAGCTAGTGAAATGAATTTCTTCAGTCAAAATAGGTGCTTATTCTTCTAAGGGTTTTGGAATGGAGGACCAACCAAAGTAGTTGTTCTCTAGTACCACACCTTTAGACAATTAATAAACATAACCATCAAACATATGGGCTTCATCATCCACTCCCATCAAAAATGAAATTCATACAAAACCCATGAGGACCAGCAACTCACAGTCACCAAGAGGAATGGGAAAATCCTCAGAAAAATCAGCTCAATTATCCCTGAATCTCTGTGGCACTTCCAAATTTGTCTTCTTTCCTGCTTTCAGGCGCTCAATAAGCAGAATCTTATTGTTATTACTTTGGAGGAAATCAATTTCTTTATGCTACTCCTCTTTCTTAAGAACTGTTCTTTCACAACAAAACTACCAAGAGAATTCTAGAAATAATTAACTATTTTCTTCTTCAGATTGCAAAATCTAGGACCTAAAGTCATTTAAACTAGCATTGAATAAGAATCAACAATGCATTGTATACTTGTATCTATAATATCAAAAACTTACGGTGAAGTAAAGCAAATGGGTACTTAAAAAGGGGTGAAATCTCACTTTGATTCCGCAGCCACGGCTCTCTCCTCCTTTGCCGCCTCCAATTTCTCCAAATGAGATGACTTGTCTTCGCCACCACTCGAAGAAAACAAAGAAGGAGAAGGAGAAAAGGAACAACATCTTCGTGATTGTATAAGCTCTGCAACAATGACATTGATCAGTCATTTACAAAACCTTGACGATTACTCTGAAAAGCAGAAACATTTATGCCAAGAAAACATGTTCTGAGAAATGGGTTTTTTACCTCTATTTCGGAAACGGAGCGCTGGTTTTGGAAGAAGAAGGCGAGATATTGCCATACCGGCGGAAATTCTCTCTTCCCCGGGGAGGGGCGGACGGAGACATAGACTGGGTTTTAGGGAGGCTTTAGACAATTAAACCTTTTGCCCCGATTTTTATTTTATTTTATATTTTTCCTTTTATAGAAGTGTTCTTTCTTGTGTATTTTACCATGAATTGTATTTTTATCTCTAATATTTAAGGTTAATTTAACAATGTTGTACTTTTTTAACAATTCAAAAATATATAAAAAATATTTAATATTATTTAATATTTATTTTAATTAATAATTTTTTATATTTTTAATTTAAAAAAAAAAACATAAAAATTAAAAGTTAAAATACTAAAATGTATTTTCGAACAAAAAACCTTAATAACTTGCAATTTAATCCTCAACCATATTTGGAACATGACAAAAAAAAGAAAAAGAAAAAGACTTTCATTTGGAACCTGGACAGAACGCTAGATCATTTATTTTTTGTTTCTTGTGAAAAACAGACATAATTCGTGCCAGCTAACTCCAGCAAAAAATGGAAATTGGCACTTTCACAACTGTTTTTCTTTGTCCAATTTGTGCATTTCATTTCATTATTGCGGTTGCAGAGGGCTATGTTAATCTTCTTTGTATCGTTTCAATTTTATTGAATGTGGTTGAAGGGGCACACTTGTATAACTAAGTATGCCAAATCAATGTTTGGGTTTGAAACCATGGAGTCTGATCTCCCATGACAGATTTTTCTTGTTGGGTTTATTTAACTTATGTTTTTATGACACAAATTAAAAGTATATTAATTATATTTTTAAAATTTTAATTTTTATAAAAAGTCACAAAAGTTAATTTTATTTTTATCATTAATGTTGTATGTAT